CCCCAAAACCCCAAAACCCCAAAACCCCAAAACCCCTTAAACTAATATATTGTTGAATAAACTCTTCATCACTCCTCCCTTGTTGACATTTGAAAGAAGTTATTACAAAAGAACTGGACCAGTCTTATAAGATTTTATCTAAAGTGGGAGTGGTTTAAACCAGAAATCTAAAAGCTACGTTATCTTGGAAATCATTAGATTGGGAAAAGGTTACCTTATTTTTGGAACACTTGAAACTATAGTAGGAAAATTTTAGATCATAAGCTTCTAATTAGCCACTATAAAGATATTTGACACTTGAAATTGCTTTAAAGAACAACTTTAGCAGTAGTAAGCTTCTCCTTGTATAACCAATCTCAGAAATTGATAGTGATATCCTTTATCTGTCTTTCAGTGATCTGTAACTTGTTGAAATGAAACTGATAGAATACATATAGCTCATTAGCGATATCAGGAAGATACTCAGTTCCAGCAAGCTCAGAAAATCCTTTAGCATATAATCTTTTATTCAGACTTTCGTAGTACTCTTTTTCCCACTGCTGAGATGGATCGTCAGATTTATATTTTTCAGGGCCGAATTGATTGAAGGCTTCTCTGTAGATGATAATATATTTTCACACTGTCAAGAAGAATTCACTGTTACATTCATTAGTGCAATAGTTTAGGTACTCTGCCATTGCTTCATCGCAGTTCTTAATCTTCTCTTTACTTCCTGCTGTTACTAAAATTGAGTTAGGAAAAATGTAGAATTCTTGGAATATTTTGGTGTAGAAAGGACGGTCCAGAGGAGACACCAAATAGGAAGGTTGAGATCAAAGAATCTGCATCCTAATTTAGAGAGCGCAAGGCAGATACAAATGAATCTTTGGAAAGATTCTAGATATTCTGTCTAATATACTTTGCTTAAATATTTAAGGGATTAGTTAGATTCTTATGGTATTAATTATCTTGGTGAATAATTAAGAGTCTCACTTAGAACTAAACTAAAAAATTTACCTTTCTCAAGACATTTGTATAGTGGATTTGTTTGAGGTTCTATTTGATTCTTGAAGAGCTTGCTCATGCTTTTCATTAGTCCTACATTTAGAATTAGCTTGAAAAATTAAAAATGATGTTAGTATTGATGTATCAATTGAATATTTACCTGGGGAAGAGCTAGGCCCTCCTTCTTCAGAAGCACTTTGATCAGTGAATTCTTTTAGAGCATCTTGGTAAGATTTTAGCAGATCAATTTGAGGTTTTTGACTTTTGCCTCCATCATGGTCTGAGTATTTTTCACTAAAAGATCCGTATTTTTCACTTTTAGGTGGCCTTCCTCTCTTCCTAGATTTATAATGAATCTCAAACTTACGAAGCTGCAGGGATTACTTTTGGTGGATTTCCTTCAGAATCAGGATGCTTAGTCTTTTTGTGTGTGTATAAAGCAGGGTAACTCAGATAGCTATTTATCTCACAGATTGCATTTAAAGTTCCTCCCTTCTGAATCATTTTTAGATCTTCTCTTTGATTTAGCATTATCTCTTGCATTGGAAGTCTTAGACTTCTCACTCTTATTAGTTTCTTTTACTGATGGCTCAAAGCTGCCGTCACCATTGTCTTTATCAAACGATCCCTCCATTCTATTTTATTTCAATAATTATATAAATAGCCGGGGTTTTGGGGTTTTGGGGTTTTGGGGTTTTGGGG